GGCAGGCCTGGCGCCGGGCAGATGAGGCCACCGGGTGTGTGTCCATTGAGCTCCGTGCTAGGTCAGACGGGGGTGGGGCTGGTGGTGTGGAAACAGCTTGAAACATGGACCACTCACTCCAGCCCAGGCTGTGTGGCCCGGCACACAGTCACACCTTCAGCTGCTCAGCTGATGCTTTATCGCGTGCCTACTGTATGACAGGCATATAGAGCTAGGTGCTGCAGGCACCCGAGAGTTTCAGGTCCCTCCCACGCCTGGTGCCCAGGGATGGAGCAGAATGGGCATAAACCCAGGCTCATACAGCTCAGAGTTCGTGTGGTGGCCCTGCTTGTGGCCAGGTTCCTAAATGAACCTCAGTTTCCCTAGCTGTGGGGAATGCACAGCGCCTGCCTGTCCCCGTCCCCTGCCCCCCTGCCCCCGGGGGGAGGTGGGAAAGATTCACCAAAATAATGGTGCTTGGGACCTGGTTATTCAGCCTGTTACCCACTGGATTCTACATCACCTTCCCGGACTTCACCAGAGCAGAATGTTCTAGACTCACAACCAGCCTCACTGCCCACCCCCACCCCCGACTTCTCCCTGTGGCCCACAGTGGCTCTCAACACCTTCCCCCTACTTTACACTAAGCTCCACTTAGACCTCATCCAGCAAACATTGACTTGGCACCTGCTGTATACCAGTGTGCATGTTGTAGGTGCATTTGTGTGAGCATGTTATGTGGAGAATCTCACTGGGATCTGGGGCTTGCCAGTTAGGCTAAGGCTGGCCAGCAGGTGGGCGCAGCTGAGATCTGCAGGGCTCAGCCTCCCCAGCGCTGGGATTACAGCTGCGTGCTACCAGCTTTTTTTTTTTTTTTTTTTTTTTTTATTTCTTTAGATGTGGGTTCTTGATGTCAACCTCAGATCCTCATACTTGCAAGGGAGTTACTGGCTGAGCCATCTCCTCAGTCCCTGAAGTCACCTCTCCTGCCCCCGGGGCACTATGGCCTCCTGGGTGAGAGGTAGACACTGGCCATAATGCTGACCAACAGAGCTCACTGAGGTTCCTGTAGCCTAGGTGGGGTAATGAAGGACTAAACGGGCCTGTGGGCCTACCGTGTGCAGACCCCACTGGGGACCCTTGGGATATCACAGGGGACCAGATGCAGCCACCATGGGTCAAATTTCCCACCACTGTGACAGATGAGAAAAACAGGGAGGAAAGATTACTAGAACCCAGGGGTTCAGAGGCCTCTGTCTATGGTCACCCTACCTTTCTGGACTGAGCCGATATCACGCCGGAAGGGGCAGCTGCTCACCTCGTGGCAGCCAGGAAGCAGAAAGACAGACAGAAAATGGCAGGTGTAAGATACACCTTTCAGAGACCAGATAGCTATGAACCAGCCAATGGGTGAATCCACAGACTAGGTCAGAGTCCTCCTCATCCAATCGCTTCTCCAGGTCCCGCCTTGGAGTCCTGCAGCAGCCTAGGTCTTCCTCTCTGAACCTAATGGGTGCTCAGCGCACAGTGCAGGGCACACATGCTCACACTGCACACCTGATTGGCCAAAAGGTTCCACATTCCCAGGGCACCCTGCCCCCCCCAGACCTGGCCCCCCACCCGCCTGCTCCTGATGTGTGACCCCATGTCTTCTCTGGTGGGGTGGACTTGGGATTCGCAGTAGCTCAAACTGAGAATTAGGAGAGGCATGGGGGGCTGAGGCTTGCAGCCGGGGGGCATGCCCAGCACCCCCAAAAGCAAAGGAAGGCCAGAGTGAGAAGGTCTGAGATTGCAGTGGCCATGACCTCAGTGAAAGGGAACATGACCCTGGAACTGATGGATGGTGCTGATGCTGCCAGGGCCGAGTACACCACACCCCAAAAAGCCCCATTCTTGCCTGACTTTCATCTGACACAGAGGCCTGGACATAATGACCCCTGGGTCATAGTCAGAATGGGGACTTGTGCCCTGACCCCTAAGTGCAGGTACAGAAGTCAGGTCCTTCCTGCGTTGAGAGTCCTCAGCGAGGGGAACACCAGACGGGCTCCCCAGATATCTCCGGTCACAGCCCAACCTTCCTACCACCCTAAGCAGGAGGAACAGGGCCCAGAGAAGCTGAGGAACCTACCCAAGGTCACACAGCCAGGAGAAGGAAGGTCCCGGATCCCATCAACTCACCTCCAGCCTCAGTCTCCCATTCTGTGAAGTGGCTTCCCCACCTCATTTATCCCATGCCAGTTGGGCTGGAAGGCTGACAGGATCACCACTGGATCACACTTTGTGAACTCTAGGAGAATTCAGAGGTGGACTGCCCAATCTCATGTGCCAGCTCCCCACCTTTGCGGCCCAGGGCGGTCTTCTAGGGCTTTAACACTGGGTCCTGAGCCGGGGTTGGGGGTTGGGGGGTGGCACATACCTCTAATTCTAGCACTAGGGAGCCGGAGTAGGTGAATCTCTGAGGTGGGTTGAGCATCCTGCACCTCAGTTCAGCCAGGTCTGCCTGTGCAGATAGCTCTGCCTGGGCCTCTGTCTGGTTCTGTGAGCTCAAAGACGTCTCTGGACTGCAGGCCACAGGCTATGGGCTTTGGTTCAGAAGGACCCAGCTGGCATGGTGACTCACACGTGTGTCATTGCAGCGCTCAGGACGCTAGGGATGAAGGATTGGGAGTTCAAGGCCAGCCTGTGCTACAGAGTAAGACACTACGTCATCGTGAGTCAAGGATGCCCCTCCCTGCCCCTTTCCTGAGCCCCGAGCTCTTCACTAACTCTGTATTTTGGGCTTCTTCTTTTTAGTGGTTACAAAAGCCTAGGTTCAATCCCCAGTACTTGGGAGATAGAAACAGAAGGATCAGTTCAAGGACAGCCTTGGCTACATAATAAATTCAAAGCTAGCCTGGGCTATTTGAGACACTGTCTCAATAATAATAGTAATAATAATAATAATAATAATAATAATAATATAATTTTTCCGTTGTCTAAAAGCCTCACCTAGTATCCAGGACCACTCAAGACAGAGAAGTGGTGCTGGGCTTCTGAGCCTTTACACATCTTGTTCCTTTGCCCCGGAAATGCTTTTCCTCCCCCACCTCCCTAGGTAAATGTCCGCGTGTCCTGCAAGGATCCACCCAGTGGCCCTGGTGCGAGAGTCTGTGACTGTCTGGCCGGAATGACACATGGTTCTTCCTTTACCTGCTGCTGCTGAGAACCACGTGATCAGCCAGCCCCTCGGCTTCCCTCCAGGGCTGACCGCATACAGTGCCCACCCACCCCCCACGCCCCACTACAACCCCCTGACAACTTGCTGGATTGGATTCCAGACCCCTAAGGCATCCATCCGTGTGAGACTCAGCGGTCCGCCCTGCCTTCCTTCCGTCCACCCTCCCCTTCCCTTTTATAAATACATCCTTGATCGCCCGCTCTCTGCCTCGGGGCATCTGCGCCAGCTCCACCTGTATTACCCGGTTGTCAGACACTTTGCCCTCCACAGGCGAGGCGTTCAGCCTGGGCACTGTGAGGTTCTGGCTCTTTGTCACAGACTGGCCTCTGCCTGGGACGTCCCCACTAATCGCTCATAGCCCCTCCCTCCGTGACAGCCAGAGACAGTTCAGGGCTTCCGTGACACCTGCAGCTCCTCCTCCAGAGCTCTGGTCACATGTCACTCCTACCGGAAAACCACGAAGCCGAGACTCCTTGTCCCTTCCACAGAACTTGGTACAGTCTCTCGTTGTGGCTGTTTCCAAATTATTCAGATGCTGAAAACACACACACACACACACACACACACACACACACACACACACACACACATGGTAGACTCCCATGCTCCCCAGCCCCTCATAGCCCCCCACTCAACAGGAGCAGGGCGAGCATTGATAAAGTGAGTATGAATTGACATGTGATTGGCCTGGCAGACACGGTTCTTGGTATTTCTGTTCCAGACAGCATTCTGAGTGGTCTATGGTCCCTAGTCATTCCCCGCGACCTCCCTAAGCTCGGGATTGTCATTGTCAATGTTTTATAATACAGGCAAGACAGGAAGACGGAGGGGTTAGCGACCTGCCCAAAGCCACACAGCTGCTTCTAATCGGCAACCCTGCCTTTTAACTATGATTTATTGAGCACTTATTACGTGCCAGATCCTAAGGATAAAGTGTAGAGCGGGAGAAATGCAACCCTAGGTTACACGTGTGTGTATGCACATACGCATCCATACACACGTATGGAAAAGTGTCTCCTTTTCCAGTCAAAGAGATCCCCACACATTGAGTAGAGTCACACAGCCAGCTGGTGGCACAGTCTTCCTTCTTCTGGGCTTTGTATGCTTCCCACTACGCACCCTGTCCACAGGGCAGGGACATTTTAACAATCTAGCCAGTCAATTATAATAATATTTTTCTCTCCAAATGTTTAAAGTGGGGGGGGAGGGTTGGCGTGCTAAGGTATAATCATGGCTCAGAGGCCGAGCTGACATTAGTTATTAATTAGGCCATTATGCATTCCACAGTGATAATTGCTTTGCTGTGGAGTCACCAAGCATGAAACGGACCCGGCGAAGGAATGCAATCTATCAATCCTTAGAGCCGCGGCTCAGTTGCTCACCTTGAGCTGGTACCTCAGCAGGAGACAAAAAGAAATTAATGATGCCGGGGATAGGCAATAGCAAGCCAGACCCTTCCCTCATCCCAGCCCCGGGAGGGTTCACCACCTGGTCCCAGGGACGGCATTGAAACCAAGTGAAAACGGCCATTTATCTTGGGGACATCTTTCCCTGCCTTCGCTTTCCCACCTTGTCACTTGTGGGGAGACGCTGTCACCATCTTGGCAGTGACGAGCGAGGGGCCTGTCCGGGGCAGCCTCCCCACCTCTGTTCTGCCTCCACCCAGGTTCCAGCCCTGCCCTTGGTGGATGGGGAGTGAACCCCCGTTCTGCTCTGAGGCCAGGGGTGGGAAGTGTCAGGCAGCCGACACCGCCAGAGTCCGATCTCAGCACAGGCGACGGAGATCTCTGAGGGCGAGCATGCGCACTGAGACCCGTCCCATGGCGGCTGTCACATCTGTGGAGCATCCGCCATGGTTAGACGCACCTATGGGTGTTTGGTTTCTTGGTGGTGGGTCCTGTGCTGCATATTTTACAGAGGAAGGTTGGCTGGGATGATTCGACGTCGGTCCCACAGCTGGTGGTGTGGCTGGGATTCGAACCCAGGCTCCTGAGAGGTGAGAAAACAGAGGTAGCAGGGCCAAGCAAACAGAGCCATCCAGAATCAAGGCAGGCATAGTTCTCCTGATGCCCATCTCCAGGCCAGCTTCCTCAGCTTCCAGACACTTCTGGGTAGACCACGTCCCCTGTCAGCTAAGAAGCATCGACCATCCAGGTCTGAGCTCAGCCTCCCAAGGTAACCAATGTCCCTGGCTCAGCTTGAGGCCTGCGTGGCCCATCAGCCTCACCCAACCATCTCAAGAGCAGAAGTCAACCTCAATGCAAATATGGCGTCCCCGGTTACCTCAGAGAAAGAGGAAGCCTCCAGGGCGGGGCCTACCTGGCCCTCGGCCTCCTGTCGATTGTGTCTGGCTGGCATAGAAGCCCCTGAACAATTGGATGAGGGTCTTTGGTGAACTGCATATTTCCTCCACTGTTCCTCCTCCATCCAGCTACTTCCCGAAGGCATTGGGGGTGTCGCTTCCTGCAGGAAAGAAATGAAGGGGATCCTGTCAGCAAAGAGTGATGGGGTGGGAGAACTGTGAGGGGAGTGGATGTCACCTGACCCCACAGAAACACTTGGACAGAGACAGGTAGTTGGAGGCCCTGGTGGCCTGTCAAGCCTATAGTCCCAGCCCGTGAGAAGCTTTGCTGTGAGTTCAAGGCCAGCCAGGGGCTGGAGAGATGGCTCAGTGGTTAACAGAGCACTGGCTGCTCTCACTGAGGACCTGGGTTCAGTTCCCAGCACCCACGCGGCAGCTCACCACTGTCTGTGACTCCAGCTCCTCCAGGGGAATCTGACATCTTCTTCTGGCCCCTGCAAGTGCTGGACTCATACACAAGCACATGCACACCACACAGGGCCCCTTGGAAAGGCCAGTGACCGAGTTCGTTTCCAAACAGGATGGCATCGGATACTGGGCGAGGCCTCCCCACATCTGCCTTGTCTCTTGGCTTCTCCAACCCAAGGTCCCCTCCCTGGCCAGTCCCAGACGGTTCCCATCAACTCTGCCATGTTCCTGGCGCTTCGACGACTTGGCCTTCCTCTGCACTGCGTGGTAGATAGTCTCGGGCAGACTCCTCCCAGCGGGAAGGAGGGACTTCCAGGTCTGAAGTCACCCCGTTAGCTACGAAGTAGGGAAACCCTGCGGTGGGGGCGACAGGAAGCAGACTGTTTCCCCCCACACACACACACGGGCTTCCTTCTTTGGCTGGGCACAGACGTCATTTTTCATCATTTCGGCAAATATTTATCGGACTTCTCCGGCATGCCAGATGCCATCCTGAGCACTGAGCGAAACGTTCTGTGTGGATGTACAGATCGATGGCCATGTCACCTGCTGTCTGTAGAGGCCCTGCTCACTTTGATGCTGCGCCACCCTCTCTGTCCATCCAAACCAGATACTGGGCTCTTCTCTTGTTAAGCCTTTGATTGGATACAGGGTCTCATGTAGCCCAGGCTAGCCTTAAACTCCTCCTGATCCTCCTGCCTCCACTTCCTGAGTCCTGGGAAACACAGGTGTGCTCCATCACACCCATCCAAGACTCTTGACAGCTGAGTGACTTATCCTAAGGCATAACAGCAAGAGAACCTTCTGGACGGGGGCAGCTGTATGTAAGTGAGTCACAGACCACGGGCTGAATTCTGAGCTCGCCGCCTGCCCTGATATATAAATAAAGCTTTATTAGAATACAGCCTCCTTTGCATAGGGCCACCCACCATTTTTGCAGGCACAGGGCAGAGCTCAGCAGCTGCCACGGAGACCAATAGTATACAGGGCCAAAGCGCGGAAAATATTTACTCCGGCTAGAGCTGGGCACCTCCGCTGTGCCCCCATGTGACTGAGGTTCTCCCGGGGCTCCCTCCAGCCCCTCCGCAGAGACCTTCCAAAGATCACAGCTATATTTAAAAGCCTGGGGAGGACGGCGCTTTGATGGCATTTGCGTGGCCGCTATTCCTTAAAGGGCACACATGTTCCTTTTGCTTCGCTCTTCTGGGCTGGCATTTTGGAGAACGTGCCAGAGTGGCATTGAGAGGAGAGAGCACTGCCACCTGGGACACACACACACACACACACACACACACACACACACACACAC